TTTATAAAAAATAAATAAAAATAAAATATTTTTTTAAAAATTGAAAAAAATAAAACATTTTCGGTTTCGGCCTGACATTTTTTTTAATTTCGGTTTTGTTTCAGTTTGAAAATTTCAATTTCGGTGCACCTCTAGTTTTTACCATTCCCTACTCTTCCCAAAACAAGGGAAAACGTTTTGGCTTTAGATATACTTTAAATAGTAATTCAAAATAAGGGATGACTTTTACATAAACTCATAGATAAGAATGGGGAACTCTCTTCCCTTTTGCATGTTCAGAAGAGAATACTCTTTCAGAGAGCAGAGTGGTAGAGGGTTGATGTAAAATTTACCAGTTAAACATAAAAAAAGACAAGAAAGATTCTTTATATGGAAAATCACAACATCAAAATGGACCTTTTAACATTTAATGAAGGTAACTTCTGAATTATTTTGACAATAAAAGCACTACACAGTTCTTAAAATCTTTCCCTCACAGTGAACACCGCACATTTTAAGTCAACACTGGCACCATTAAATATACAAGAATTCCTAGAACTCAACTTGTCTGCAAAAAAATTCCAAAACATCCCAGAGCTTATCAGTCCACTCAAACGTGTATGGAGTGCTTTCAAGTGTGATATAGAATTCAGGGGATACCAGGCTAACTATTTCTAAGAATCAGATAATAGGAGTAGACAGACAGTTAGGCAAGCAACTGGAAAGACTACTAGCGTGGAATGTTGACATCACAGACTGTTTACTTCTAAAACTGCCTACAAATAACATGTATTAAGAGCCAACTCACTTTATAGTTTTTTTCATAGACATGCACACTTTCCCCCCCGTTTTATATGTCTACCATTGGGCCAACAAGGACACTTTTGCTATAATAGCACAATCTAAAGATTTAGGTTAAAAACATATCTGCTGTCATGTGCAGAAAGAAGCAGTTTTACTGTGAACATTTCTCTAGAGTTTCTCTAGAAGGTGTCCAGATAAAAGGCCCAGGAAGGTAGGTTTAACATTCACCTGGGTGCTCAATTAAGCCCTTGTATGTTTTAAAAAATTATTCCCCAGTGTTTGTTGAGGGGGGTGGAGGCTGATCACATACATGCGTGCTCATCATCCTCCCGGCATATGTTCCCAACAAGCAAAGAATGGCAGCTCAGACATCTCTCCTCCTACGAAGGGGAATGTTTGAACAAAACAAATGCATAATGTGAGCCTTTCCCAGCCACCGGCTTTCCTTTGGTGAGGAACTCACAGGCAGCATGTCTAGTATAACAGGTGCCGCTCCACCATGTTACAGGTGCTGCGCTATAGAGACATTTAACTCTTACAAAATGTAAGCCAATGGATGACTCTTCGCTCTTGTAAAGTAGAAATGCAGTAAAATATATAATACAAAACAGAGTGCTGGATTTACTAAGCTATAAATTGAGGTAAACGTTAATTTTAGATATATATGAAAGCCCAATCACTAAAATATCATAAAAGCTTTAATATATTCATGTAAATTCAAAAGTTGTTTTCAAACTTGTTCAGCACTTTCTGATATTTGGTGGCAATTGTCTCCCCATTGCCCTCCCTGCCACATGCACCCCTGACTGAGACTACAAGTGGCTGTGCAGACGCGCATTGAGCAGTCAACATAGGAGCAAGCGAATAAAAAACAAGAAGTGGCTGAAAAGAATGGGAAATAATCAGCATGATCGAGATACAAAAAAAAGATGAGAAAAGGATGAAAGAGTATTTCATTAAAAAAGAGGCAATTGTTTATGATACATAGTGCTTTAGAGCCTTGGTTCTCAACTGGTGGGTCCTGACCCAAAAGTGGGTCGCGACCCCATGTTCAGAAGGGTCACTGCATGCCTTCCACTTTTCTAGGCGAGAGGCTCCTCAGCCTCCCCCTAGCGCAGCACTGTCAGTTCTTACACCAAGCAGCCATTCAAAATATGTTGCTGAGCGCCGAGTGTTGACTTGAGGTGGGGTGGGCTGGGGGTATGGCCGCGAGGGACCTCCATCCATACATGCATAGCTTATAGCTCCCTCGCATGTCCTATAGGAGGTGCCTAGACAGGAGTGACATCACATTCTGGCTCCCGGCACCTCTACAGATGCACATTTGAGCTGCACAAGCAATACACATATGGATGGCACTCCATCACAGCACAGCAGCCCACGCTACCGTGCGTTCCATTGCAGTGCGACTTTGGTCGCGACTTAATGACCGCGGTCAAATGTGGGTCCTAAGGTTACACAGGTTGAGAATCACTGCTTTAGAGAACTATAACAGGGTTATGCACAAAAGGGTGAAGAGTTTGGAAAAGGCTGCAGATGTGAACAATCCAGGCCAAAATAGCTGATTTGGAAACATTCTGAAACAAAGGGAGCAAAGAAAGATTTGGAAAATTTTTCCAGTTCAGCTATGTTGTTCGAGATTGTTCACTTCTGCCTTCTCCAAACTCTTCACCCTTTTGTAAATAACCCTGCAAATGTCATCCATTTAGTGTCTATATCTACTTTTAGTTATCTGTGCTTACTGTAGACATCCAGTCATGGGCCACAGAAGCTGTGTCAATAGCACACGTGTCATATGCACCATAACTCATGCCCGCTGGTGGAAACGGGCCCTTAGCGTTGTGTAGACAAAGCTGTTAAAAGTTTATAAACATGACAGTTGTGTCGGTATTAACATTTCATCATTGT